GCATTCCTGGACGTGTGCTCAGGGCATGTGCAGGACAGCTTGTTAGTGTATTTACAGACATTTTTAACCTGTCCCTCACCCAAGCAGTTGCGCCGACATGCTTCAAAACACCTCCATTGTGCCAGTGCTGAAACATTCCACCCCAATGTGCCTGAATGACTACCGCCCTGTAGCACTCACACCTATCATCATGAAGTGCTTCGAGCACCTGGTCCTGGCACACCTGATGACCTGTCTCCCACCCACACTGGACCCCGACCAATTTTCCTACTGAAGGAACAGGAGCACAGAGGATGCAGTCTCCATAGCACTGCACTCTGTACTCAGACATCTGGACAACAACAACACTTATGCAAGAATGCTGTTCGTGGACCTCAGCTCAGCATTTAACATGGTCATCCCCTCCAAGTTAACCACCAAACTTGGCGACCTGGGCATCAGCACCTCCCTTTGCAACTGGATTCTGGACTTTCTGACCAACAGGCCTCAGCATGTTAGGTTAGACAACACCTGCTCCTCCACCATTATCCTTAACACTGGCGCACCACAGGGCTGTGTGCTGAGCCTGTTCCTCTACTCCCTTTTCATTCATGACTGCAGGCCTGTGCATTGCTCCAATGCCATCATCAAGTTTGCAGATGACACCACAGTGATTGGCCTCATCAGCAACAACAATGAGTCAGCCTACAAGGAGGAGGTACAGCACCTGGCTGTGTGGTGCGCTGACAATAACCTGCTCCTTAATACTGACAAGACCAAGGAGCTCATTGTGGACTACAGGAGGGAGAAAGGAGGCACACACAACCCCATCCATATTAACGGGGTTATTGCTGGAGGTGTCTCCAGCTTCAAATTCCTGGGGACCCACATCTCAGAGGATCTGTCCTGGACCACCAATTCCCACAGCTTGGTTAAGAGGGCTCACCAGCACCTTTTCTTCCTGAGGACACTTAAAAAGAACCACCTGTCTTCAGCCATCCTGGTGAACTTCTTCTGCTGTGCTATCAATAACATCTTGACCAGCTGCATCATCATTTGGTATGGCAGCACTACTGCTATGGACTGCAAGCGACTGCAGAGAGTGGTAAAGACTGTGGAGAAAATCACCAGGACTTTACTTCCCTCTCTGCAGAGCATTTACCACCGCAGGTTGCATAGTAAAGCTGCCTCCATCCTCAAAGACCCCACCCACCCCAAGCACGGACTGTTCACCTCCCTTCCCTCCAGCCGGAGGTTCAGAAAGTGTGAAATGCAGGACCTCTAGACTGAAAAACTCTTTCTTTCCGACAGCTGACTCAGGAACTATCTCATATAATTCCACCTGTACAATTTACACACACAGTTCGCACATGCATAATTGCACACTCACTGCTGAATATTTGCACACACAGCTCCCATGTAGCATACATTCGCTCTGCACTGTATTGTGTTCTTGTTGTATTTTCAGCATGAGGAGGGAGAGGAGAACTCATCATCACATAGCTCCCATGTAGCATGCATTCTCTCTTCATTATATTGTGTTCTTGTTGTATTCTTCATTATGCTTCTTTCATCAGCTGTTTTACAGTGCCTTAGATGTTTGAGATCTAGATTTTGTGTTACCTACAGTATGTACAGTATCTGCGTTATATTCCACTTATATTGTGTGGCATTTGTGTGGACAGCAAAGTAAGAATTTCATTGTACAGGGAAACACGTTTTCTCACTGTGCATATCACAATAAACACTTGACCATGTGATCAGCATGGTTCACCATACAAAAAAGAAAAGAAAACAAAACAAACAGAGAAAAACACAAAATTCCTGATACAGAATGAAAAACTCCTTACATACAGGTCCACCCTCAGGTCAAAGATTTGATTTATCCAGTCCACCCTCAGGTCAAAGATTTGATTTAAAAATGAAATGTCATAACACCTACTAGATGGATTGGGTGGGAATTTGGTTCAAACATTCATGGTACCCAGGGGATGGATTCTAACAGTTTTGGTGATCTTTGTATCATCATCATCAGGTCGAAATTTAAATCTTTCTTAACATTTGGCCTCAGTTCAACAGTGCTGAAGACTAAAGGGGAGCCATGGACACATAGTTAAGCCTAACCTGGACATGAATCTAATGGATACCTGGTGATCCAGGGAAACCAGAATTAACAGTTTTCTTTACACTACACTTTACTTTTCACTTACTGTACCCTGTGATTGACTCACTCCTTGTTTTGCTTTCCAATTTCTCTTCTGTTCACTTCTCCCACCTTCTTCCAATGTCATTCCAGCACCATGCGCCCCCAGTCCCCCTACCTCTCCGACCAGCTTGGCCCCTTCCCCTTCCTCTGCTGACTTCCCAACTCTGCCCACATCATGAAGGTGTGAGTCCTACAAGGTGAGTCTTCTTTCACCACACCACATGCACCAGTCCCTTTGTTCCCTTATCCTGTTAAGACCTCTGCTCACTTCACTTTCTGAGACTGCTCTTGCACACGATTTTTTTTATTCCATTTGTAATATTTATGATACATTCTACTTGACTTTGTTTGACTTGTTTATATGTTGAAGCTGAGCACTTGATCTATTTCTGAAACATTTCAACCATATCCTACATCACAACTGAGCAACTGCATCTGATGAGGAAGGCCACAAGATAAAATCTTCAGACAACAAGCAAGTTGGACCTTGAAGATTTTTTGTCATCATGTAAACCTGAATCCACGGCAGCTTAGCCCACATCACAAGCTAATCAAACACAAGTTTCCTGCATAAAAGGAACACATCCCGATGCAGCAGCCATTACAACTCAATCTTTCCTAAAATGGTTCACAAAGTTAGATTTTCATTTGTTGCCCATGATAGTAAATGGTATCCAGTGACACACACGGGTCATCTGGAATGTTCTGTTTCTCTCTTACCATGTCATTTTCCCTCTTCTTCTCTGTAGCTCAAGCCCTTGCTGCTGTCAAGTTTGATGGAACATCTTTCTAAGGATTCACATGACAAACTGTACAATGAAGATACAATGATTTTTTTTTTTGTACCAGATTGAACAAACGAATGGAAACCTGTCAAAGGAGGTTTCCAGGAGACAAGCAAATTCATAATCAAAAAAGAAACTATTAAGACTTGTATGCCCCATATCATCCAATGCCCCATAGCCTCCTGCTATGAGTGTCCTGTGCACAAGGCTCCAGATATCTTACCAGCTTCAAGTTGTGTAATATTTCTATGTAATTTAGCTCAGGACATATTCTACAAAGTAGAGTTTACTGATGAACTATGTTGATGTTGAAATGTTTTACACTCAAAATGACAAAATGTCAGTGAACTGAGGTGTCGGTTCACCATTCGAGCACTGCATACAAGAAGCCCATGCTAACAATGAACAAGGAAAGGAGCTGCAGATGTACTGTAAATCAAGAGAAGGAGTTAGTGATGAAGCAGATAAATGTCACTGAAGTTGACTAGTTGATAAGAGTCTCACTGAGAATGTCAGAGAGGCTATGAGCATGCTTGTTGACAGTCAAAGCCAAAGGAGGATGACCATTATCATCTAATGTCTATATCAGTCTTCAAAAATCACAGATGGCTTGTGGCTGAGTGAGTGGAGCTCAGTGACAGACTGAGGGTATATACTGACATATTCTGACACTTTGACAGCTGACTGAAACAAAAGGCCTCTCATCCTGTGTAAAAAGCTGAGGACTCCCTTTCTGAACTCACTGTGATGCCTCTTTCACCCAGACCTCCATCCCCTACACTACTCCTGTTCTATCAGCCTCAGCTGCTGTCAGTTACACTCATATGCAACCATTAGCATTACATGCATTTGACTGGATCAAATCTAATGCCACCTGGGTTAAGTTTCACTTCAGTGCACCACACATCTTTCATACCAAACACAAAAGAGTACAGAGTTTGTTGCAGGGCAAAGCCAAAGGTAAACAGCATTACATGAAACACAATTATATATTTTTTAACTCTCACTAATATTTCATGTCACTCTTGAGGGGAGAGAAAATTTAGTTGATCTTTTCCATAAGAGCTGGAGTAAAATCAAGGTTATGAAGACAGGTAGAACTTGCTCAGCTGCTCTTCTTGGGAAATAATTACCTTTCTCTGTGTTGTGTTGACTTCACTGTTTGATGTAGAAACCCAGCCAGGCTGTTCATGATGAAATCTCACTGTATATACTTAGCTATAGTTATGTGTATTTCAACTTTTACAAATAGCTGATTCACAGAAACAGCAGGCAATGACACAAGCGCCTGCCCCAAATGCCAAGAAGAATTTGTCAGAGAGCACAACAAAGCCTAAGGAAAGAGACAGAAACAGCTCAAAAACAATACAAGTCCACAAGCCTTTTACTGGTATCATATTTTTCAGTTCCATATTCCTTCAGCATGCACTCATGGAATGGTCAGGTTTTGTCAGGAGTTTCTTTAATCTCTCCAACCTTTAGATAAAGATGGTGATCATCTGGTGGTTAGACAATGAAAATATTGCCACAGACTAATACTGTAGTAGGAAATGAAACTTTTGCAGTTGAGGCAAATGTTTATATAGCAGTCCCTGCTTTGAATTCCACACCATCCCTGTACTGCTCTACATGAACCTCAAATTTCTGTACTTCTTTGGCACAGAATATTGCTAATCCAGGATAGTTGCATATGAATGTAATTAACCTGAGGCAGAATTGAATCCCGAAGGCACACGATCACCTTACCAACCAGCCACTGTGTGCATTTGGTTCAAACCATTTAAGTATCAAAATCAGTGGACTTCTTCATAGTGCTCAAGAAATGACCCATGACTGTCTATATATGTATAGGTAAAGTATATTGGATATGCATTTATAAATGGTTTGCCATATGCGGAAAGTGAAAATAGAAGTGGCCTTAGAAAAACACTTGCTCGTGTAAAGAGGAATTTGTTGCAGTCATTTGAGAAGGAACTATGGAAAATACTGTCATGTAACAACATTTCATCCATTCATACAGTGCCATAAGTCTGTGTGTTTATATGCTGTAAAGATGTAACATATTAATAACATGTCAAAGAAGTTTGAATTTGGACAAAATACAGTAATTCAAAATACATTCTGACATTTTAAAAATCTACACACATTGGCTTTAATTCAAACTCCAAAATGACCAATATAAACTACCTAAAAAAATTGTGAAATAACAAAAAAATAAAAAACTCAACTCTTCTCACTTATAGTACTTAATAGCAACACTTTTACATTTTAAAACACTGTTGTACAGAAATCTTTTTTGTAGCTGATCAATTAGACAAAATCAGAAAATCATCACAATCTGTATTATAAAAAAGCTACTAGAAGTTCAAACTGTTTCAAAGCAGTGTCTTAATTTCAGAGGTTAAAAAAACACCATTTTCAATTATCAGTTTCAGTTTTTCAATTTTATTTGTATAGCACCAAATCACAACAAAAGTCATCTCAGGACACTTGACAAGGTAAGGGCTAGACCTTAGTATTATTAATATTATAGAGGAAAAACCCAACAAATCCCCCTTGAGCAAGCACTTGGCGACAGTGGGGAGGAAAAACTCCCTTTAACGAAAGAAACCTCTGACAGACCCTGGCTCTTGGTGGGCGGCCTTCTGCCTCAACCAGTTTGGGTGAGTGGATAGAGGAGAGAGAAAAGAAAAGAAGAAAGATACAACAAAAACAACAACAAACAAACATTAGGCAGGCTGATGTGGCCGGTGACTGCTCATCAAAAATATATAGCTCTAGGGCAGAAAGGTAGAGGGAGAGAGGGGACACAAAGATAATGACATGTAATGGTGGTATACAGATGCATGAAGAGAGAGGAGAGGAGTGGAGTGGGGTGGGAGGAGAGGAGAGGAGAGGAGAGGAGAGGAGAGGAGAGGAGAGGGACTCAAAGCATCATGGGGGGGCCCCCAGCAGCCTAGGCCTATAGCAACTCCAGAGCCAGGGATATCTGCAGAAAAGTACAGGGAGAAACTGAGGGCACACTATGTGACATGTAATGATAGCATATGAAAATGAAATGGAGAGCAGAGGTGAGATGAGAGGAGAGGAGAGTAGCTGTGCATCATGGGACAACCCTCAGCTTAGGCCTATAACTAAGGGGTGGTACAACAAACCAAACTTATTTTAGAATGCATGTCTAGTAATTTCATGGGCCCAAGCAAAGGCCATCCTGTTGACTAGAAACCACTGGTATGGTTAAATATACTCCGTGGCAACAGGATGACTCAGGCCCCCACTTTGCTTGCAGTTATCAAGATGGCTGTCGGTCTTATCCCTGTTCAGCCACATTAGTTGTTATGATAAGATGACCTATCGAAGGACATATCACAACATAATAAGTACCCTTCTACTCTCCCATTACTGTCCTACTAGGATTATATTGAAGAACAACAATATTATACTAACCTAACTATAAGCTTTATCAAGAGGGAAAGTCTTTACCTTTAAAATTAGACTAGAGAGGGTGTCTGCCTCCTGAACTGAGACTGGGAACTGGTTCCACAGGAGAGGAGCTTGATAGCTAAAGGCTCTGCCTCCCATTCTATGTCTGTGGGCTCGAGGAACCAGGAACCACAAGTAGACCTGCACTCTGAGAGCAAAGTGCTCTGTTAGGATGATAAGGCTCTACGAGGTCTTTAAGATACAATGGAGCGTCGTCATTAAGGGCTTTGTATGTTAGGAGAAGGATTGTAAATTCTATTCAGGATTTTACAGGGAGCTAGTGAAGAGAAGCTAATATAGGAGAAATATGATCTCTCTTGCTAGTATTTTGGATTAATTGGACGCTTTTTATGGCAAGATTGGGACATCCAGATAGTAAAGAGTTACAGTAGTCCAGCCTGCAAGTTAAAAATGTATTGACCAGGTTTTCAGCATCACTTTCGAGACAGAATGTTCCTGATTTTGTCGCTATTGCACATGTGAAAGAAGGCAGTTCTAGAGACTTGGTTTATGTGTGAGTTAAAGCACATATTGTGGTCACAAATTACTCCAAGGTTCCTCATAGCAGTACTGGAGGGCAGAGCTAGGTTCTGACAGATAATGCACTAGTTCTCCCAGAAAATCATCACAACCACAAATTCTTTGGTATTCTCATGTTTATTTCTGTATTGTTGTATTGGAACAACACAAAAACAGGACAAAAAGCCAAATCTGCATTTTCTGAAACCATTTCTGGTGCTATTTGAAGTCTGCTTTGGGTCAATTGCCCTGCTGTAAGACCCATGGCCTGTGATGGAGATCCAGCTTTCTGACACTGGGCCCTACATTTCGCCCCAGAATTCATTGGTAATCTTCAGATTTCATAATGCCACACACACACAGTCAAGACATTCAGT